CTTCTACCAGTCGCTCATCAACCTAAACGAAATTGGGTGAATACATTTCATACTACTCATATATACTCATAAAATTTTGTAAAATTTCAGGCTTCAGTCCTTCAACGGGAAATCTTATTTAATGCCGATTTTATCTAAGCCTTTTTATTATATAAAAATATAAATAAATATATATATATATATACAATATATCCTACATCATTTGTGGCAAGGTTAACACAAAAAATGACGACATTACCAAAGTTAATGTATACAATTGTTAACATTAGATATCGGCAACGGCACCATCAGTCTTGCCCCCAGCCTGCTCGACTTGCACCAATATTCTCTGGAACTGGAATTACTGAGCGAGCTTCTGCCGTTTCCCGAGGTCGTGGGTCAGTTTCTCGCCTACCTCGAGCTGTCTCTCTTCACGGCCCTACCGGCACCAGCCTACATTCGACACGTAGTCGAGCTGTACCACGCGCAGGCCTGCCCGCCGGTGTCGTCTGCGCCTTGGACACCAGCCGCCACTCGATCAGAGACGGACAGTCGACCGTCCCAACTGCCGGCATCAACCACAACTTGCCTCGGTGCAAACAACACAGCCTCTGCTTCCGCTCCGCCTCGAGCACTCTCGCCAACCGCAGTCGAGCTGGCAGGCCTGGACCGACCGTCTGCGCGGTTCTGCCTCAGCCCGGAGGCGTCTTCGGCTGTTGTCCTCCCGACCGGCTGTCTCGACTCGAGTCGCTATGACCACCGAATGGACGAAGATTCGGCCAGAAGCGTGAAACCGACCGGCGCTTCGGCCGGCTTGTGCTCGACCTGTCCGACAGTCTCGTCCGGTACCAGTCGCCCGGGGGACCCGGAGGGGGTCCCTACAGCCGGGGAATCTGACGCCTCGTTGGGCAGACTCTCCTCGAGCACAGTTTCGCCGGCACCGAAGCGACCCGTTGACGGCCACTCGGTCGCCACCAACTGGCCGCCGTACGAGGGATCTGTATCGCGGGCCATCCTCTCGACGGCCCACGGTTCCCCCCACTACTACCATCCACGACAATACCGAAGAGCCTCTGCCCAACTGCCGAAGTTTCGCTATGCCGCCGCGTCGGCCGGTGCATCTGCCGGGGCCTCGGTTTCGGCGGCCGTGGCGACGGCAATTTCGCTTGTTCCGACGGCCGGTGACTCGTCGCAGGTCGGCGCCTCCACGAGGCTCTACAACAAGGCTTGGAGCTCACTGGCGGCCGCTTGCGCTGGGTCGTTGGTGAACTCGAGCCAGACGACTGGAATGGCGGCTGGCGTCACGGTCAAGGATTTGGTGGTGCGTCTCCGAGAGGCAAGTCAATAAGATGCATCGGAGGCCAGACGATGCCACGAAAGGCCTAACTTTAGTGCATACAGTGTTCAGAAAACCTCTCGGAGACATACATTGTCTCGAAATAATGTGATATGTAGCTTGAAAATAAGAGGATTATGATTGTGGTTACTTGCATTTCAAGCAAAAGTACGTGAAATAGAGAGAATTGGGGGCATAATCCACCAGAAAACAAACAAACCTTCCTGTTGAAACTCTCCGGTTAACGCTAACTCCGAGGTAGCTCATTCGAGTCCGGTCCGGATGTGCCAATCTTCCGTTCGGCATGCAACAGGCATCATCGGAACATGCTATCCGTAAAATCTGTGTATGAAAACTAAGTGTTGAGCTTACCTCCATTTCGAGTGAAAGTGTTTGGGGAAAAGATTCAAAGATCAATCCGACCAGAGGTCAACGGTGGATTCCTCTGGATCAGCTGTCGATTGGGTTTACGGGAACATTCTTGTTAGCGCTGTTTCCGAGGCAACCTCATTCGATTCCGGTGGAAACATGCAAGGGTTTCGTCAGTCGCATAGCGAATATCATCTTTAAAACACTATTTAACATAACAGATAAATATATTTCAGCGACACATCTCTTTGTTATGTCTGCATGTGATTGTGAGAAAGGGTGGATTAAAAAGTACAGACAGGGTTTGTGACTATAACCAAGCTTTAAAAAATTGTCAAGTCGACTACTTATCTCATGCGGCGCAACAGCATTTATATTAAATAAGCATAATTACTTGTTAATAAACTTCTTGCTGGCATTAGTGAATAAAAAGAATAGCATATTCTCCAAAAAGTAAAGAATTCAAGAAAACTCACCTTTTGATGATGTCTGTCATACAACGAAGCAAAGATTTGCATTTTACCGAAATCAAAGGAGATTGCCAAAGAAATAGCAACAACAAGATTGTTAGAATTAAGCTATTCGACAGCAGGTCAAAAGAAATCCGCTGTCCTCATTTGGACGGAACGAGCATCGCAGCCCTTCAGCATACACATTCAATGAGAATGGAAGTGAGCCAAACAGCAATGAAAGAATAGATTCCTCGAAAGACAACATTTCTACGCTTATTTATACTAAGTCTATGCTTTATGATGAGCTAGAAAGGCATTTGGCTAGTCATACTTCAATACATAAGCATGTGCATGTGTATCTTGAATGTGTACGTTTATCTATGAAACCAACAAAAGTTTTGTTCATTCGAACTCCCTCCCTTTAACGGTATGCTAACCAGCACTCCGATTGCATATTGTAGGACACAAGTTTGGCAAAGTTAATGGGTTTTGGTCTGCGCGTGTAAAATTGAAAGATAACCTGGGACCTACAGTGACAATAGCTAGAAACAAAGATAAGAAAAGATTATTTTTTATTGATAATTAGCGTTTCGGGACTACCAGTCACTCAGATATATGATGATGGGCGTTCACTCTGTTTCGTGTAAGGTGGTAGCTGAATTTTCCCACAATCATGTGAGTAGACATGACGTTTCCATTAAATTTAACATCCACTTACTCCCCCAGAAGTATTCACATTCGAGCAAGTGTTGACTGCAGTCTAGCTCTCATCCGACCTGGTCTCATCGGCAACCACAGCGGGACTCAAACCATGACAGTTCAGCGTATACTCTTGACAGTTTACCAGTTACGCTACGTTGCCTCGAGGACTCTTGTGTCACAGGGCAACTATGGATTTGACACAAGGCCAGAAACTTGCCTAAACTTATTTTCTGTAGAGATTGTCGATGAAGCATAGTGTTTTTTGCTACGGCATTCGTCTACATTACTTGTTTTTCGTTTATAAGTAGGCTTTAACAACTACAATTTTGCTTCATCGACTACCCCACCACACAATGTGATATTGTCAAAGGCCTGACCCCCTCAACATTTACACGTGCCCTGTGACGCAAGAACATTCGTGACAGC